CTGTCTCTCCCTCTTTCTCTCTCGCTCGTACCTAAGCCTCTACTTGCTGCGCTAGTCACCGGTCCTGCAGAAATAGCCCGAATCCGGCCAATACACGAAATGTCGTAACCCCCACCGCTATCCGTATGGCGAACGGACTCATGCTACTCTGTTGGGCGTGATGAGCACCGTGCTGATCAACTAGTATGTCTGGGGCCTTCTTGGCTGGTCTGCCGTTTCCCCTGTTCAAATGGTGCACCTGCAGGTAAGCTCTCATCCCTATCGTTGTCCCCTGATGTTTAGCCCTTCAGTCTTTGCTACCTAGTATGAGACGAATGGGTAACGACCCTCACCAGTGGCTAAACCCGCAGCCCGCTATCCCCAGTCTGTCGCCTAGCCTTCAATTTGCCCCATAAAGGCTGCTAGTAGTTGCCCGTTCGATCGGTCGCGGACAGCCCACCCCTTTCCCCCTCTAACAACTGTCCCCTATCCAATGCATCCGACAATTTTCTTCCACCAAAACAAGCAAGGCATCGACCTACAGGTAAGCCCCCAACCCCGTGGCTGGGTTCGCCCCTATCGCATCGACAGTACCAGCAACTCGGATGAATCTTCCGCTGCAGTTCGGTGAGATACCCCACCCTTCTCTTACAGTCACCAGGTACGTACCCCCCTCTATTACTACCTGAATCTCGGTTTGCTATGTATACGGTAACACCCTGTGTCTAGATCCATCTAATCCTCCCCCATTTAGTGACGATCAAAATGGCGGTGATCTTAGCCAAATAGTGCCTCGTTCCCAACTTCAGAGTAGGCGACCTCTGCCTTCGAAGGCGGTCACGACCACGATGACAGTCGCGAACACCAGCACGTCGGGATTGTTGTTAACGAGCCGATCCTTCTCTCCCCACAGTGCAGGTACTCACCCGTAGTTGAATCTCTGCGCCTACCGCTATAGGAGGGGATCTTCCCTCCGATCGTGGGAATGTGTCCGCCAATCTGTCGAAACTGCAACTCAGCTTTCGGCTTGTTTCGCACCGCCTGCCTCCGTCAGTAAGTGCCTTCTCTCTCTCTCTCTCTCTCTCTCTCTCTCTCTCTCTCTCTCTCTCTCTCTCTCTCTCTCTCTCTCTCTCTCTTTCT